CATAAACAAAAAGTAGTTTAATAGAATTTTGAATGTTAGACACTAAAACCTTGTGTTATGCACAGGAAAGGCTACTCAGGGCGATAGAGTTAATAATAAAATTTCAGACATTTCAGAATCTAAGAAAATACAAATACAAAACCAAGTTTTATGAATGTTTTTCACAAAATCTATACACTACTTTAAATGTTTGTATCAAGAAGTTTTTTGCAATTTAAATTATTCACTGTGAGTAGGAAAAAGACAGTTATATATGCATTATACTCTTATGTAGTGTATTGTTGTTGTTTATATTTTGTTCTTAAGAATAGATTTCTGTAATCAATCTTTATTTTCACATTCTTGAAGAAGACAAATTATAGTTGGTTTTATATAAACAAATACATTTAGTTGTTGTACAGTACTATACAAGTACAGGTACACCACTGATTTTCCAGCACTTTTGGTTCTAGATTGGTTCTGGATTATTTGTTTTGCCAGACCAACAGAGGTCACGTAATAATAATTCAACAATACACCTCTGACCCACTAATTATACCTCTCCGTAAATGTGAATTAAATGATTAATGAAATATGTTAGTACAGTATAAATGATACAGGTTTATTAGTACAGTATAAATGAAAAAGGTTTATTAAAAAAAAAAACCCTTAAATTATACAATTTATTCAAATTTAAGAATAATCTTTATTCCATTTTCAGTCTAATAATCAAGTTTTTACCCTTTTCTTCATCTTGGTTATCTTTTCCAACAGCTGGTGAACTACTTGTTTTGTGAAGAAGCTGTCGAACCTTCAAAATGGAGGAAGGGGTAATCGCAGGCGTGCTGCCTGCAGATGCAAGTATCTGATCTTTTGTAGAAACTGGCTTTCTAGAGATTGGAGGAGTCTGGAGCAAGGATAGAATTTCAGCTCCAAGGTGCTTGACACTCTTCCTGCAATCATACCTATTATAATATATTCTCTGCAGATTTTAAAACTTTTTCTTCAGGACAAAACACTAATTTGGGTGAAAAACTTCTGTGTGAGACCGTTTGAATATTGCATATTCTTTCAATAAATTATACTTTATTCCTATCACTTCCTAAAGTGTAACCCTATAAATGTTGGTCAATTACATTATTCTGTATGTACAGATTAAAAAATAATAGGTAAGTCCAAGATAAAAATTAAATTATGAAAGAATGTTGTTCCTTCAGAGCTTAATGAATTCATTTTAAATATATATTTGGCCCAACTTGATAATTTCACCATTTATTATACAGTACACTACCGATTTTCCAGCAACTGATGGTCTGGCACCTCTTTTAATCTGGACAAAATTATTAAAGTGCACTTGAAATTCCCGCAACCGCCAAACTAGTACCCTTGGCATCCACAGATGGCATTGCGTGTGGCTCTCGCTCTTTCGGGACAGGCTACTTACATTTTGAGTCAGTACGTCACTCTATAATTGAGTTGACGAGTGAATTAATCAGTGGGCTAGAGCAACGTACCTTCGTGACAGAACAAAAACTAATGACTCTTCATTTGCTGTATGAAAAATTACATAGGGAAAGATCAAAGCACATAAAACAACTTCGCTTGGATGATATGTTTAAAAACATAGCCAAGAAGAATGTGTCAGAGCAGTAGGCCTACATCCAATAATTCTGTGGCTTTAACTTCAAGTACCCCAAGTGTTCTCCCCCTGCAACATCACAAATCCACGATGAAACAGTCAACTATGAAACAGACAGTAATCCTGACAGCTCTCAACTTCCAGACCTTTGTGATTAACTCTACAATTCCAGTAAAATTTTAAAATTTGCTACTTTGGAAGCAGTACTACTGCAACATTCTTTGTAAGTACAGTAAAGCTTAGCTAATTTCTGCAAGGTCTTACTAGGCTCCTGTTTACAGTTAAAATTTTCTGTTTCAACTTCAGTTACAATCTAATGCTAGTCAATATAAAATAAGATTAGTTTGTTTTTTACTTAATAAACATATTTTTTCAATAAATGGTACTACTACAGTTTATATCAGTAACATTTATGAAAATTTTGAGCTCTATACACTGAATAATTTTGATGCAATGAGTTGCATATGACTAAAGAGCATTATCCAAACACTTTTAAAATGCAGTATTTCACAAAAAAAAATCATTTTTTAGAAAATTTTTCCTTTTTCTAAATTTTTTTCAATGAGGTATGGCTACTATGATTAGTAATTACTGGCACAAACAGCTACCCTTAGAGTGGTGTATCTGCTAGTAATATTAATAATGACAGATACCTACCACAAGGAGAATAAGCTTCAGAGGTTGGTGAAATAATGGAAGTTTGACGAAGTGGTCTCCTAGGACTTGCACGATAATCTTTGAGTGAAGATCTGCATTTTAAAATTATTAATAAAAAACAAGAATTTTCTTAGTTTTTTCTTTACAAAATATCTGAAAAACACTAAGTCAAAGTATTATAATTTATATGTAAGCCATACATAGTTTTTTATGCTGGTGTGTATAATGGAAGCTGTAAAGAAATTTTAAAGTCAGTGAGTAGATACAATGTACACAAAATACAAATTTTAGGATTTGTATACTTATCAAGACAATAAATCAGGGAATGTAAGCTTTGAAATTTTCAAGATACTACAAAATTAAAAAAAACAACTGGAAATACATATAGTATTCACAATGCTACTAAATGCCTACTGAATATAATTATGAAATTAAACAGGAAAAAAGCAAACTCAACAGCTTTATAACATAATGCTCTAGAAAATAATTCTGTAGAAGAAAATAAGTTGCATAAAATAAAAACTAAAAAGAAGTACTCTGGGATGTTTACCTATCTGGTGTTGAGCTTCTATCTCGCACATATCTGGGACTCCATCTTGGAGGTGGAGTTGAAGGCTTCTCAAGTGTTGGGCTTCTGTCACGCAACGTTCTGGGACTCAATCTTGGAGGTGGAGTTGAAGGTCTCTCAAGTGTTGGGCTTCTGTCTCGCAAAGTTCTGGGACTCAATCTTGGAGGTGGAGTTGAAGGCCTCTCAAATGTTGGGCTTCTATCTTGCAAAGTTCTAGAACTCAATCTTGGAGGTGGAGTTGAAGGCCTCTCGGGTGTTGGGCTTCTATCTCGCAAAGTTCTAGAACTTAATCTTGGAGGTGGAGTTGAAGGCCTCTCAAATGTTGGGCTTCTATCTCGCAAAGTTCTAGAACTTAATCTTGGAGGTGGAGTTGAAGGCCTCTCAGGTGTTGGGCTTCTATCTCGCAAAGTTCTGGGACTCCATCTTGGTGGAGGAGTTGAAGGCCTACAATAATAATATTACACACTTATTTATCTTCCAACAATAAAATCTGGTGTTATCATCTAATAATTAAAACGTCATATTACAAGCTTCAGCTCCTGATTAGCAAATGTATATTATAAACTAATTTCAGGGTCTGTAAACTTGGCAATACAAGATATTCAAAGGCTTTCCAACAATATCTAAAAGATTAACAGCTAAATTTTATGGACTTAAGGCAAGTGGAATGTCAATACCTTTTTTTTTTGCCAATACTGAGTCTGATACTAACCTAAAATGGATCAACACCATAAAGAACAGACATAAGGTATACAGTAAAAGACATGGCTTAATACCAGATAATATGATGAACATTAGACAAAAGCTATTAATCATTTAATACATGTACATTCCTTACCATTTGCTCTTTTCTTTAAGTGCTTTTTTTTTAGTGTTGAATAATTGGCTAAACAACATCTCCCTTACATAACAATGTTACTGTTCAGTCTTGAGTTACCACAGACATCAAATTCATGAGTTTTCCGTTTACAAGTTATAAAAGAAATGAATTAATTTTGTTGAAAACCAAATAAATTGAGTAATAAATATTGAAATAAGAGACAATCAAGTTTTAGAATATACAGTGGCTTTTCTTCTCAGAATTGACTTTGGTTTATGTTTTTCATGTTACATAAACTGGGGTATGCAATTCAGACTGTGTTTTAGCACAAGTATGCATTTTATAATCACTAAATTAAAAAAAAAAAAAAAAAAACAATTATTTGCAATACAAATTGACATTACAATTTCACACTTCCTGCCTAATTTTAAACATAGTGAAAAGCATGTCAAGAAATGCTGAACTTACTACTGAAGTACAACTTACTGGTAAAAATAAAACTATTACTACTAAAATAAAAATAAACAGATTATCACTGAATTTCTATTTCTGTTTAACACTGGTTATGATGAATGAATTTTCCTCTCCTATCTCATCTCCTTGTACAGCAACATCACCAATAGCAATGAACATCATTATATTATCATGGGGTCTAGATTCATACTAGTAATTACCATGTTCAGTCATTAGTCACTAATTTCAACTGAAGTCTGATAACAGCGATTAATATACCTGTCGTTTTTAAGCTTTACACTTCAAGATCATTACATTACGTAGCACTAATATCACTTATCGTTAAAAAAAATTTCTGCAAAAAAAATATACTGAGGAAAAGCTTCAACCTGCTAATAGCTTGAATATCAACATCCAAGTATGATTCCTCAATTATTAAATAAGCAATGGTTATATGAACAGCATGTGTGGATGGGTGCTTAGTTTATAAATGTGGATTTTAAAAACAATATATATGATAACAAGAGGGAAAATTATTAGTTTCATCTGCCCATGTTTACTAACATTCACTTTCATGGACTTTTCCTAAACTTCAGCAGTAAAATACAGACTTTTAAGATCTTGATTTGAAAACTAAAAATTTCAAATATTTTTAAGGTTTTATTATGCACCCCTTACAAAGTACTTTTTTCAGCAAAAATAAATGAATAATTAACTTTGTCACCTGATAAATGAACAATCACACACAAGCTACCATACACTTAATAGTCGAAACAGATTTTTACCAAAAAATAATACTCTAAGAATGATCACTTTATTTTTCATAAACTATTTACAACATTTACAACAAATAATACTTAATTGTTTGTAAGCTGATAAAAACTTGTAAATAAAAAAAAAAAGTCAACAAAGATTTGAAATTTTTTTAAACATTATGTATAAGAGAGATTAACATACTGAATTACCTAATATTTCATCTTTGAAAAGATGTATACATTTTATAGTGACTTCAACATATACAACTACTTATAAACTACTTTAACATTTATAATTTATCATACTTTAACCCTTTGAGTGCATAATTAAATTTTTGGTCAGTGATGCACATGCAGTACTAAGGCAGGAGTATCCCAATTGTTGCACTATGTTTATTTGAAGTTAAGCACAAAGCTACACAATGGGCTATCTGTGCTCTGCCCACAATCGGTATTGAAACCCGGTCTCTAGCGTTGTAAGACTGCAGACATACCACTTTGCCACTGGGAGCATTGCACTATGAGGAAAAGTTTTTGTGACACCATGGGGTATATCCGCTTGTCGCACCAAAAAGCTATAAATGCCAAGTCAGATACATGTGATTATAGTACCCAAAGGGTTAATAAAATCAGGTTAAAAAACTCACCAACATTCTTGATATGGAGGTGTTGAAGATCTGGCTTTGGGAACCATGAAACGGAGATGTCTCGAGACATCCTCTTCTGAAAAGAAAAAGTATTAATATTTTTATAGACTCCCAGAAAAAAACATTAATCAAATTACATCCTTAGTTAAAAAAGCTTGGTAAAATTAATGGGAAACTAATGAAATATTATCACAAATATTTCAAAATAGAAATATAAAAATTACTTATTACATTAACCTTCTCACTACTGATAGGTCAGAGTGAGCATGTAAGATCTTTTACAGAGATACATTCAAAATTCAATTAAACTACTTTATTATTAACGTATATAAATAAACTTGGCATCAAAGCATAGTTAATAAATCAAATTTTAGTATTTATAAGGTTTAGTTCTTAGGTTTTATAAGGAATTAT